TATGAATGCAGAAGCAGGTCCAGGACACATTCTGTGTTAAAGGTCAATGCCCACAACCAGACATCCCATCACTCACTGGCCTAAATTGACTTCCCCAGTCATAAAAGGCCTGCAAAAACAGGTTATAAAAGGGACACCCAAATTTTTGTTTATGCAGACTTCTCTTGTCTTGCTCACTGCTTTTCTTAGCAGTATATTTCAACAAATCCAACTTTTCTGTTCTCCACTCTGTCTCTGGTGAATTCTGTCACCCCTATGCCTCTGGCCTCACCCCATCATTTCTCTGGCTGTTCAATGTGCTTGAAACCAATTACTATGACACCAGGTTTTGAGAAAAGAAAGTTTTATTCCAAGTCCACCGGCAAGCAAGCAGGAAGAAAATTCAAATCTGACTCCTCACTTAGGAAAGAGGTGGAATTTATACTGATTTTTAGAGAGTTGGGCTGAGAACAAAGGAGTTAAACTCTTTTGATTAAGGAGCAGGCTAAGGGTAAAGGAATGTGGACATGGCTGCAGTTGTACATTTGATTCATTTAGGGAGTTTTTTTTCCAAGCAACTGCATCTTTCATGTTGATGGCGCCCCTCCTCAGTAGTTTTGGAAGACTCCTTTGCCCAGCCTCCAGTCCCCACTCCAGCTCCAGGCCAGCAGTTTCTCAGCTTCAATAGGCTTGGGGTTGAGCTCAAGGTTAGAGTGTATCATTTGCATATAAACTGTGTAAAAGGAAAGTTAGATAAATTTTGTGTAGTCTAAGAAACTGAGGTTGTTTTGATCCCAATTTCATTACTGTTGCTTCTCCTTTCTCCTATTATCTTTAAACCCTAGCCAAATTTCATTAAATAACCTACTCTAAAACCTCTACAGTTTTGATTTTCTTGAAAATGATGTTATAAAAAACCCTCTCAGCCCCCAGGTAAAGATTTTGGAGTGATTCTTTCTACCTGTGTGTATTTGTTGTCTGTGTATGTTGATTCCAGTCATACCAAACTGCTATTATTGAAACTTCTTTCTTTAATTTACAATATAGTAAGGACATCCTCCATGTCATTTTAGCAGATATTTAGAAGAATTATTTAATTGTGCAGATTTTAATTTTTTAAGTAACACATGTTCATAGTAAAAGAAAAAAAAGAGTACAAAGAGCTGTACCTGAACCTTGCATTCCAGGTCTTCGGTTTTCCTTCCCAAAATCAACCCGGCTACTCGAGTTTTTTCTTTTTTGGCAAATTCATCTAAAGACACTCTTTGCAATTTAGCTATTAACTGATAGTCCCCCCAATCTGTCTGCAAGTTACACAATAACCATAACCCCCTGTGGTAAGATACATCCAATGCTTCAGGATTAGAATTTTTCTGAGAGGAATATAACAGAAACAACCATGTTTAATGTTGGGCTTAAAATCAAGATTTCTGAGACATTATGAAAGAAATTTTTTTTGCTAATGATAGTTGAGATTTTTAAAAAGTTTAGTAATAGCATACATTCAGTGAAGTACACAAATCCTCAGTTCACATCTGTATTAATTCTTAAATATGTTAACATCCATGTCACTCCCTCCAGGATTAAGAAATGTAACATTCCCAGACATCAGAAAGGAGTCAGTCTTTTGAGAAAGAAATGGTTCCCCCCCCACGCCCAGTTCCCAAAGGCTAAGAACACAAAGGGATTAAAAGAATAATGCAAAAGTTAAAAAAATTAAAATATCAATATTTTCCCAAAAAAGACAAAATGGGATAAAATATTCTCTATCAGAAGACATCTTTACTCAGATTCCCATTGAGGCCACGTATGGGGTTAGTAGGTGTTATGAATTGAATTGTGTTCCTTCAGAATTCACATGTTGAAACCTTAGCCCCCAGTGTGACTTTTAAATATAGGGTTTTTAGGGAGGTAAATTAAATTTAAAAGAAATCATTAGGGTGGGGCTCTAAGCCAGTAGGGCTAGTATCCTTATCAATAAGAGAGTCTCTATGTATAGGAATCAAGTGAAGGGCATTTGGGGGACACAGAAGGCAGCTGTTTGCAGGCCAGGAAGAGCTCTTCCTAGAGGCTAAAATTGTTAGTACCTTGATCATAAACTTCTAGCTTCCAGAATTGTGAGACAATAAATGTTTAAGCTACTAAGTTTGTGGTGCTTTGTTATGACAACCTGGGCAGACTAAAAGTTGGGGAGGAAAAACAGAAACCTCAAGCAGTTGGGAGTTTGAGAGAAGAGGAGGCCTATGCCTTTTCCCCAGGTACAGACTGGGGAGACTGTCAGTGTTCGAAGAGGTCACTGGGAGGATGTGATTGCCAGTTGCCCTGCAAACAGGTCCTGGGCAACAGGAGGCTCCTTATAGCCCTCCCCTGTCCTTGAAATACACAAACTGCCCACTGTTTCCATAAAAGGAAGCTACTTCAAGGACGCAGTCTTGAGGAGACAGCGTGTTACTATGACAATGTATACCGGACTGTATACATGTCTGAACTCTATTAAGGCCTCTATATAAACTCGTAAGATTCTGGTGGATGTGTGTGGAGATATACTCATCTTGCAAGACAAGCCTGTATATAAGTTTCCTTGCTTATGAAAACCACTACCTACCTGCCTATTTCTTCCATCTCTCCTTGTCCTCTGTGTAGAAGGGCTAGTGTCCCATATCACCAGGGAGCTCCTGAGATTGCATAACCAACAGCAAGCCTCCCAGAGATGTTCCTGAAACCAGCAGAGTGCGGCAGTAGAGCAGATATAACAGGAGACAGAATCAGACAGCTCCTAAACCTTCCTTGGTCAAGTATTATGGACTCCTAAGAGGTTGAAGGGGGCCACTTCAGGGCCTGCAGGCTGGTGGCTTCCAGCCTATGCACTCCATTTGTACACACCAGAGACTGGGCAGTGCCATGGAGTCTTGCAGGAGATCTACTAGGCCCATATTCTCCACTCCCTGTGTCAATATGCAGTAAGAACTTAGATGCTGTAAGAGGACCCCCTTCCCCACGCCCTGCTCCTGGGTCAAGGACAGTCAAGCATCCCCTGCTCTACACCCCCAGCTAGAGATGTCCAAACCAGAAGCAGAGCGGGTTTTCATGAACCGACCAGGTTTGCATTTTGAATCCTGTGCTAGTATTGTAAACACATCAATCAAATCTTGGAAATGGCACCAGTTTTGAGAATAAGCCAATCAGGTTTAAAGGTGGGGACCCTGAAAAGGATTTATAAGCTGGGACTTCAGACAGCTTCAGACACTAGGCCAATCTCCCTCATGGGAAGACCTTTGACGTAGACCTTCGGGACATTGACTTCAGGGACACAGACCTCTGAAACTCATCCATACTTGTTTGTTCAGAACTTTCTGCCTCTCTTCCAATTAGCCTGAGAGACTTGCCTGCCAGACTCATTGAGATCTTCACAACTGACCTCTATTTTGAATCTCCATTTACCTGCTGCTCTTGCCTCCAGCCCTGTCTCCAGCATGGCCTGCTAATTGGCACCATTGGCCCGAGCCCAGTGCCTCTAAACAAGCTGTGCACAGGTGCCTGTGCTTTGGCACATCTCTGAAAGAGCTAACTGCTGCTGGCCTGTGCCCAGCGATCTCCAAGGAGCTCTTCACCACTTCTGACCTCCTGGCACCACTGCCTAGCTGCAGTTCTTGCCTCCAGCACATTGGCACAGCATGCTGGTACTGTTACCTCTGGTGCTGTAGAGTCTGGCCTCCAATGCTTTCCAGCCCAGCCTCCAGATAGGTGCTGCTGGCTTCTGTGGTGCAGCCTCAACAGCACCACCTGTGACCATCTCCAGCTGCCACCCTGAGTTGGATCCTGGTTTATTGCTTACCAGAGTGCCACCAGCTCCAGGCTGTCATTAGAGGGACAACATTCTCTTGCATGAGCAGCTTTTGATTTGGACTAACAGATATTTCAGATGCTATCAGGGGTAGGACATCCAGTCATTTGTGGCCTTAAAAACTCTCCTGTTTCCCAAGCTCCCCTTTGCTAATAAACCTATTGTTGTACTCTGAGCCTGAGTTGTGTCTTGCAGTTGTGAGAGTTTGTGGGCAAGGATCCACAAACCTTGACTACCCTCAGTTTTTACATGTGATCAATGACACTGCAGAGTAAAGAGTAATAAAACTTTGGTTTCATATCTTTAACCAATCAATACCTTTAACCAATACCTCAATGGACCACTTTTACCTGGAAGACTAGCTTAATGTTTTGCTGTAAGGCAGGTTGAATATGCAAGTCAAAAATTAGTTCAGTTATAGGAAGATGTTAATGCTATACCTAAATTGTGATCTGTGTGTTTTGTACTAACAGCAAGATCGCTTATGTCGATGTGTATGTCCATATACCCAGGTGGGTGTCCACCTTTATATATCCCCACCTACCTATTTATAATTTTTTTAAGATTTATTTATTTATACAAGCACTGGGTACAGACAGAAGTGCGGGAGGGTGAGAGAATTCATCAGAGCGAGAGGGGAGAGCAGAGCAGGCAGACTGACGAAATACACTGCTGAGGGAAGCAGCGGGCAGCAGGAGAGGTCTGCGTGCCATGTGGGACCCTCGCCCGGTGGCCGGGGATCGAACCGGCGCTGCAGAGGCTGCGGGCAGCTTCGCAACCCAGCGTTCAACCACTGTGCCACCAGGGAGGCCAGTCTCTTCTTTTCTCTAGGGTCTGGTGTTGTCTACTCCAGGGCTGGCATCACCTCCCCTTCTCAAGAGATTGGCGTTGTCTCTCTCCTCAGCTCCCTCTGACCCTTGCTTATATCTTCTTTCAGGGTGACCCACCCACAAGTCTAACTGGACCATTTTTCAATCCTGTGGCTGATTGGACCATTTCTCAATCAGCTCATAGCACCTGATTGGTCCATTCCACAACCCAGGAAGTGCACTTTACATAAAAGGGCTCTCAGGAGCAACTGCCACAACCAACTTGTGGTGAGAGGCTGAGTCCTGGCAGCAAGTCTGATTGGACCATTTAGCACCAATAAGCTCATAACTCACACCTAACTGGTCCATTCCAAGGTCTCTGAGGAGCAACTGCCACAACTGACAAAAAAGCAGTTACTGAGCTCTGAGGAGCAACTGCCACAACAGACTTGTGGTGGAGCAGCAGGTTGAAAACACCGCTGCTCCTGAAGGCTCCCACTGCTGAGGTGGCTGGATTCTGGTAAGACTTTCTCAAAGTATTTTGAGATATGTAATCCTAGTATATAACTGTAAGCAGTGTGGTGCCTTTGGAATACATCTCCTTGACTAGACTGAACTACATTTCCCAGAATTTGTTTCCTTTTATGTTTCTAGTTGGGAATACCATGAGAGACATACTTAGGGGAGATTTGGAAGGTAGGTGTGAAGCAGTACGCATTACGTGGCTTGTTCACATTACCTGTGGGCTCACATCATGGGAAAACAGTGGGCTGCCTTGTCCACCCTCGTGAAACCAGGCGTTGGGTCAGGAATAGACATCGATCGGCTCTACGACAAATGGCACTAGCTTCTGTGGCAGGACCCCAGTAGCTGTTGTAAGCGCTATCACCAGTTTCAGTCCACTCTCCTGTGTCTAGCTCATGCTTGTGGGTTCCCATTTCCCATGCCGCCCCCTATTTTGCATGCCTGTGGCAATGCCTACCTTCTGGACTTCAGACTTCAGCTAAGTGGAGATTTAAGACAACAGCCTTAGAGAGTGCTTACTGGGCTCCCACAATTGATTAATATTAAATCCCTGTGATTAATAAATTCATTTATGCATACAAATACACTCATAACTCTGCTTGATCCTTATAGATGGCAAAATTTAGTACCAGAAATAGAGTTGTTCCGGAGGAACAAAATCTTAAAGATTCTCTGAACTGGGGCCTCCCTGGTGGCACAAGGGGTTAAGCATCAGCACTATGAAGCAACCTGCAGCTGCTGCAGCACAAGTTTGATCCCCATCCAGAGAGGTGACCCACATGGCGCAGCAGACCTCTCCTGTCTTGCCCCCTGCTCCTCAGCAGTGTATTTCATCAGTCTGCCTGTTCTGTTCCCCGCTCTGTCTCTGGTGAATCCTCTCACCCCCTACACCTCTGGCCTGCCCCTCAGCTCTTATATGCATAAATAAATAAATCTTTGGGAAAAAAAGATTCTCTGAACTGATTCTGAACTTTCTAGAATTGTTTGTCTGCATAGATTCGAAGGTATTAATGGTTATTTTTCTAGTAATTACAGGGACACTGTAGTCTGTGTCATGCCCTGGGACAATAGTTATGAATTATCATGTATAGGCTCTGAATTATCAAGTATTTGCTGTCACAGAAAACTTCAGTAAAAATGGGTACGGCTAGTTGTTTTTGTGCTAGAGAACTTAGGGTAAAGAGAGTGAACGCCAAGGTTCTAAATTCTCAGTTCAAAGTTCACATAAGAAATTTGAAAGTTCCACCGTGTGAGTCCTTTGCATATCTTTGTGATCAGTCCCTCAATCTGAGGGGGTGGGGGGAAGCAAATATTGTCTAAAAAATTAAAAAAAAAATAAGTGTTAAAATAAAAATAATAAATTAAAAAATATATGCTCTTTAAAAAAAGAAATGCTGAAGAAAGTTCTTTAGCTGGAAAGGAAATGACGTAATTTTGTAACTTGCATGTACAGGAACAGATGGGCACCATTAAAACAATAAATATTTGAGTAAATATAAAAAAGCCATATATTTTTCTATGGCTACCTAAAAAAGAAACCTTCATCTCCTATATCTACAGAGTCAAGACTTTTGAAAACCACACCCAAAGTCTAACTTTAAGTGTGGCTAGACTAGTGTGAATTGAATGTCCAACCCGCCAGGATCTCACTGTTACCAGCAGCGCACTGTTTAGAGAGAAATGGGATGCAGACAATTGAATGGGGCTCTAATGAAGTAAGTGAATCATTAAGCCCTGACAATTTTTTTTTTTACAGAAGAAGGCCATTGAGTTTGGGCTGAGGAATTTACCATCTCCTTGCCTGCAAGTCATTGCTGATCTTCTCAGAACCAATCCTGATCCCCTTGCTTCTAGATCTAGAATTCAACTCAAGTCCCAGACAGTCCAGAGGGTAAGAAACAAAGTGTGACCAACAAGGAGTGCAACAAACTTTATATGACTTTGCCCATTTATACTGACAGAAATCTGGGAAATAAGTAGGAAATAGATTGCAAGATTTGAAATTAAGTTTGAAAGGATATAATGTGTTATCAATTCAAATTTATTGATATGGAATCATCACATGAGACTGCAGATTCAAAGTATTAGCTTAAGGGCTAGGAGAGGTCTAAGAGTTTGCTTGGTGCATTGACTAAAATATGGAACCAAAGAGTGCCCACGCTAGATGAATTGGGATGCCAGAACTTCCTTGTTCACTTTAGAGTAAAATAGCCAAAGATTCCTGGAGGCTGGGATGTGAGCGGATGGATGATGTAAGATCTGCTCTGGTTATGTAGCCACGTAGGCCACTTTGCTTCTTCTTCTTCTTCTTCTTCTTCTTTTTTTTTTAAATCACTTTACACTCTTCTTCTTTTTTTTAAGATTTATTTATTTATACAAGAACTGGGGTACAGGCCAGACGCACGGGAGGGTGAGAGGATTCACCAGAGACAGAGCAGGGAACAGAACAGGCAGACTGACAAGATACACTGCTGAGGAGAGCAGCGGGCGAGACAGGAGAGGTCTGCCGCGCCATGTGGGATTCTCGCCAGCCAGGATTGAACCCGTGCTGCAGAGGCTGCGAAAGCTTCACAGTGCGGCGCTCAACCACCTGCGCCACCAGGGAGGCCCAACTTTACATTCTTCTTAACATGGCCTATGTATTTTTTGCCTGGAGAAAAACAGCTTGTATGAAAATTCGTTGGTCAGCATGGAACCAAAACAATTCCAGTGTTTGAAAGCATGTCATCCTGGTTGTCTTTCTCCACGGTGGGGTCTATTCCTGTCATGTAAAATTGACATTTCCCTCAGTGTTTTGACACTCTGTTCCATGTTTTGCTAAACTTCTGATCAACTCATTCTTTCTTTAACTATAGAAAACTAGATTGTACCAGTGTTATGTTGAGTTGGGGATCATTTTGCCTCTTTAAGTGACATTCAAAAGTTCTGACATCATACATCAAGTAGTTTGACAGTTCAATTTTCAGGGTGTGGTAGTTTTCTCTATTTCTCCCCAAGTTCTTAGAGGATACTTGACTATTGCTTCCATATATTATTTACAATTAATTATGATGAATTTGGCCAAGGGTCTCTTTTGTCATCTTTCCAGTATTTGTTTTTTCCTATCACAAAATTATTTGAGCAGGGCCTCCCTGGTAGACTTGGGGTTAAGTCTCAATGCTATCACTGCTGTGGCCAGAGTTCAATCCCTAGCCAGGGAGGTGACCCACATGGCTCAGCAGACCTCTCCTGTCTCACCCGCTGCTCTCCTCAGCAGTGTGTTTCAGTAAATCTGCCTATTCTGCTCCCCACTCTGTCTCTGGTGAATCCTCTCACCCCCTGCACCTCTGGCCTACACCTGTTTTTCTACACACACACACACACACACACACACACACATCTTTAAAAAAACACCAAATGTGCAAATCAAAACCACAATGAGATACCATCTTACATCAGTGAGAATGGCACATATGCAAAAAACTAGCAACAACGAATGTTGGCGAGGATGTAGAGAAAAAGGAACTCTCCTGCACTGTTGGTGGGAGTGCAAACTGGTCCAACCACTATGGAGAGCTGTGTGGAGATTCCTCAATCTACTAAAGATAGAGCTTCCATATGACCCAGCAACTCCACTCCTAGGTATTTACCCAAATGACACAGAAACATTAATTCAAAAGGGCACTTGCACCCCTATGTTTATGGCAGCACTAATAATGTGTATGGCAGCACAATAGCTAAGCTATGGAAACAACCCAAATGCCCAAAAATAGATGACTGGATCAAGAAAATGTGGTATATATACACAATGGAATATTACTCAGCAATCAAAAAAGATAAACACATGCAATTTGCAGCAGCATGGATGGAGCTAGAAGGGATCATGCTCAGTGAAATAAGCCAGAAAGAAAAAGAAAAATACCAGATGGTCTCACTCATAGCAGGAATCTAGAAAACATAAATAAGGGACCAGGAAAAAGGATAACTATAATAAAGTAAAAATCAAAATCAACAAGCAACTATAAACCAGAGACACACTATGTGGGGGTGGGGAGAGGAGTGATTGGGGTCAAAATAAGAGGGGGGGGTGCAATTGTATTGGGAATATAAAAAAATCATTTAAAAAAACACCAAATAAGTCAAAATTACTGAGCATGTGCCAAAAATGCACAATTTGAGAGCATCAAAAAGAATAATAGCTACATGTGTTGAAATAGATTTAAAAAGATATGAACCTCAAATGATATTTTTTAAGAATGAAGACTTCTTTTTTTAATATTTTATTTTATATAATTCTTACATCATTTTTCATTTTTGCACAATGTATGCAATTTCATTTTGGTTATATTCCCCATACAATTGCACCCCCCCCTTATTTTGACCCTAATCCTTCCTTTCCTTGCCTCTCCCCTTCACCCCATAGTGTGTCTCTGGTTTATAGTTGCTTGTTGATTTTGATTTTTACTTTGTATTAATTAGTCTTTTTCCTGGTCCCTTATTTAGGTTTTCTAAATTCCTGCTATGAGTGAGGCCATCTGGTATTTTTCTTTTTCTTTCTGGCTTATTTCGCTGAGCATGATCCCTTCTAGCTCCATTCATGTTGCTGCAAATTGCATGTGTTTATCTTTTTTGAAAGCTGAGTAATAGTCCATTGTGTATATGTACCACATCTTCTTGATCCAGTCATCTATTTTTGGGCATTTGGGTTGTTTCCATAGCTTAGCTGTTGTAAATAGTGCTGCTATAAACATAGGGGTGCAGGTGCCCTTTGAAATTAATGTTTCTGTGTCATTTGGGTAAATACCTAGGAGTGGAATTGCTGGATCATATGGAAGCTCTATCTTTAGTAGGTTGAGGAGTCTCCACACAACTCTCCATAGTGGTTGGACCAGTTTGCACTCTCACCACTAGTGCAGGAAAGTTCCTTTTTTTCTACAACCTCGCCAACATTTATTGTTGCTAGTTTTTTCAGTATGTGCCGTTCTCACTGGTGTATGTTGGTATCTCATTGTAGTTTTTGATTTTCATTTCCCTGATTACAAGTGATGTTGAACATTTTTTCATATGCCTGTTGGCCAGTTGCATTTCCTCTTTGGAGAAATTTCTTTTTAGCTCTTCTGCCCATTTTTTGACTGGCTTATTTTCGTTTTTGTGGAGTCTCATCAGCTCTTTTTTTTTTTTTTACAGATTTATTTATTTATTTATACAAGCACTGGGTACAGTCAGAAGCATGGGAGGGTGAGAAAATTCACCAGAGCCAGAGCAGGGAGCAGCGCAGGCAGAAGGACGGAAGTACACTGCTAAGGGGAGCAGCGGGCGGCAGGAGTGGTCTGCGCGCCATGTGGGACTCTCCTCCGGTGGCCGGGGAGCAGTTGGGAATCGAACCAGCGCTGCAGAGGCTGCAGGCAGCTTTGCAAACCAGTGCTCAACTGCTGCACCACCAGGGAGGCCCTCATCAGCTCTTTGTAGATTTTTGTGATCAGTCCTTTATCATTAGTGTTGTGTGCAAAAATGTTCTCCCAGTCGGTGGGGTTTCTCTTTGTTTTGGTTATTGTCTCTTTTGCTGTGCAGAAGCTCTTTCATTTGACATAGTCCCAGCTGTTTATCTTTGCCTTCACTATCACTGCTTTGGGTGATGTGTCTCTAAAGATGTCTTTGAGGTGCATGCCATGTAGTATTTTGCCTATATTTCCTTCTATATATTTTATGGTTTTAGGTCTTAGGTCTAGTTCTTTAATCCATTTTGAGTTGGTTTTTGTGCATGGTGTGAGGTAGTAGTCAAGCATCATTCTTTTGCATGTAGCATCCAGTTTTCCCAGCACCATTTATTGAACAAACTTTCTTTGCTCCAATGCATAGTCTTTGCTCCTTTGTCAAAGATTAGTTGACCATAAATCTGTGGATTTATTTCTTGATTTTCTATATGGTTTCATTGGTCGGTGTATCTGTTCTTGTTCCAATACCATGCAGTTTTGGTGATTATGGCTTTGTAGTATAGTTTGAAGTCTAGGAGTGTGATGCGTCCATTCCCTTCTCTTTTTTTCAGGAGAGCTTTGGCTATTCGGGGTTTTTGGTGATTCCATATGAATTTCATCAATAATTGTTCTATTTCTTTGAAGAATGTCATTGAAATAGCACTGAATCTGTAAATTGCTTTTGGGAGGATGGCCTTTTTGAGAATGTTAATTCTTCCAATCCATGAGCAGGGGATGTCTTTCCATTTCTTTGTGTCTTCTTCTATTTCTTTTAACGGTGTTTTATAGTTTTCTTTGTATAGGTCCTTTACTCTTTTGCTAGGTTTATTCCCAAGTATTTGATTTTTTTTTTGTTTTAATAATAAAAGGAATGTTTTTTTGATTTCTTCTTCTTTAGATTTATTGTTTGTGTATAGGAAGGCTACTGATTTTTGCATGTTGATTTTGTATCCTACCACTTTACTAAACTGATTGATGAGTTGAATTAGTATTTCTGTGGAGTTTTTGGGGTTCTCTATGTATATTATCATATCATCTGCAAATAGTGATAGTTTGACTTCTTCCTTGCCTATTTGGATTCCTTGTATGTCTTTCTCTTGTCTTATTGCCCTGACTAGGACTTCCAGTATTTTGTTGAAAAGCAGTGGTGAGAGTGGACATCCTTGTCTTGTTCCAGATCTTAATGGGAATGCTTTTAGCTTTTCACCATTGAGAATGATATTGGCTATGGGCTTGTCATATATGGCCTTTATGAAGTTGAGGTATGTTCCTTGTATCCCGAGAATTTCAAGGTCCTTTATCATAAGTGGGTGTTGTACTTTGTCGAGTACTTTCTCAGCATCTATGGATGTTATCATAAGTTTTTTTATTTCTTTTTATTGATGTGTTGGATAACACTGATTGATTTTCAGATGTTGAACCATCCTTGTGTCCCTGG